ATTGATAATGGACCAAACAAAAAAAATTTTAAAGTAAATAGATTCACTATAGTTACATGCATACCTAGTTCTCTATTTGGAGTAATTACAACTGCTAACGGACTGTTAAACTCCTCATCTATCTTTGGTTTCCACTGTAATATGTGCTGTAAAATTGGCAGCAAATACGCCAGCGTCTTGCCACATCCCGTCTCAGCCGTGACCACAGTGTTATTGCCTTTTAAAATAGACGGTATTGCTTTAGTCTGAATCTCCGTAGGCAACGAAATTCCTTGACTAGTCATAACCTCAATCAACTCATTCGACACGCCAATTTCCTCAAAACTTTTCTTGTACACCTCTTTTTCTACCTTCTTGTTGGCATCACCATATATCACAAAGTAGTCTCCCTTAGACTTAGCGTGGAGCCAGCCCTTAGAAGCCAGTTTGACTCCCTCAAACTTTTTATAAGTTTGGCCCTCATAGTGATTGAATTCGGGACGTTTACACGATATTATCGGTAGTTTCTTCTTGGCCTGCTGAGCACTATAATAGCGGCAATATGATGATAGAATTATTTGGCGTAATTTTGACATTATTGCACATAATTTAAATTAATTTCAGGATCCAATCGTGTTTGTAGACAGCAACATAACCTAAAATATTTTGACACCAAGAAAGAACTCGCTGTCAAATATTATTTCAGTCGGTCCGTTTTGCAAACAAACATACACATAGTACAAAATCATTGTTGAAATTAATTTAATGTAATAAAAGTTTAAATAAGCTCTCTAATTGGTTCTGAATGAAAAAGTATTTTTGTTTATTTACAATTGGATGGATTAGAATTATAAAAGTTTTTTTTTTAGTTCTTTTACCTTTTCGGTGTATTTAATGCTAAAATCGGAACTTGGCCAAATAGATCAATCACGGGGGCGTTTGGCCGAGAATACCATTGTTAGCGCTAGTAAGAAAATTAATGGCGTCCTTTTATCGGTATAGGGTTATAAGTGCTATCACTGCTAAAAAATGTAAAGGATAACGTCACTTTTGAAGTTAGCAAACATGTCTGTCCTCGCCTTAAACATGCAAAAGTTTTTTTTTTTCGTTCGCCATTTTGCTAACAAATTCTATTTTTAGCCAAACGCTCCCAATCACTTGTCACTCACTACTACCTACTGTCATACATACTAGGGATGTGACATTGTAGTTAAAAAATCGATTTTTAATTAATCGGTTTTTTTTCTACTCTTGAAAAATCGATTAATAAATAATTGATTTTTCTTAAGAAAAAAATCGATTTTATTATATAAATAGAAAACATTGACGCCAACTACTTGCCGTTCTTTTAGTCGTAGACATTGTTAAAAACGGGACTTTTGAAACACTAAAAACTTTTAAAACACTAAAAACTTTTTGTCACTAAGACCTTTTGAATTGTTTGAAATATTATGAAGTTTCAGCAACGAATAATGAATGACATATCAAACGAATGTCGGTAAAATAGTACAGTTCATCGTTTAACTCCATCTAGTGAATGTTTGATTAAATTAATCAACTTAACTGTTTCAAAAGCACAGAAGGAATGCCATCATAAATGCACAGATGGCGTTAATGTAATATTATGGAGCTATGATAGTATTCTTTGGCAGTTCGTGTTCCGAACTCCGAGCCAGAAGACCAAACGTAATCGGGGTGCATTTATTGCATGATTATAAAAAAATCGATTATTAATCGATTATAAATATAAAGNTATAGATGACCCACGCTGAACTGTCCCGCCAAACTCAATGACAGGGGGGCGCTACCATCGTTCAACTATATGGTTTCCAACATGGCAAAAATCTGAACCAGCGATCCGGTATTGACGGTGGCGCCCCACTGTCAATGTCATCGACAGGACAGTCCAGTATTTTGGAACTATAAGTGCTATCACTGCTAAAAAAATGTAAAGGATAACGTCACTTTAGAAGTTAGCAAACATGTCTGTCCTCGCCTAAAACATGCTAAAGTTTTTCGTTCGCCATTTTGCTAACAAATTCTATTTTCAGCCAAACGCTCCCAATCACTTGTCANACAATAAATTTTTTCAATTTCAATTTCAATTTCAATTATTTGCCGCTGCCAACCGTTTGTTCATATAAATTGTAATTTGATTATGTTTTATTACCTTCGTTATTGTTACCATTACCGTAATATATTACCAAAACAGTAATATTTCTATAATGCGTATTTTTCATCTTTCCTTTCGAACAATCACATTCATGAAATACGTTTCACTCTATGTTCCTTCTCCCAATGTCTCAGACTCAAAAGTAACATTTTCTGAAAGATGATTAATGTGCTTTTAGCATCACAAGGTAGCTGAGACGGCCATAAAATGCTACTCCAACAAACGTTACATCGACACTACACTACTCCGACAAAGGATATTCGCCATTGTCTAAGTAGTGTAGTGTCGAAGTAAAGTCATGTCGATATTCAGAAGTGTCGAAGTAGCGTTTTATAACCAGCTGAGACAAAGTGAAAAATATAAGAAGGCCGAACCAGTGCACTATTTCCATACATTACTGTAGTAGACTTTTATACTCTAACTACCAACAAAAACTTGAGATTTCCATGCACACATCCCAATGAAATTATAAAGATAATACATGAATATGTATGTAACCTTGCTAGTGGTGGCTAGTCGAGCAAAGCGAAATAGTTTTTCGTAACTGCGCGCCAGGTAGTCAAGCGGCAAACGCGACACACTTACATTATTACTCGTCAAATAACTACTGAAAATTCCTAAAAGAAGAATTATGTTCGTATGAATTATAATTATTGTCTTTAACATCATTCATTTTTCTCTCGATGAAAACCGAAAAAATATAAATGTAATTTACCTACTGATAAATGTTTCTCTCGATTTGTGAATAAAATTAATAATAAACAGTCGACGGTGACTGTTTTTAAGTAAGATTATATTATTGCAGTTGGTGTGACCTAATTATAATATTCTGATGATTCTTATTTATTTCTTTTGAAAATATGTATTTGACGATTTGTAAGCACTGTTAATAGTCCATAAACGAATAAAGAATTTTTGACTTTTGCCTGTTTTCACCATCAATCCCTAATTTTTAAGTGACTCCTTTGAAAACAAAATTCCTGTTCTGTGTCACCATAGGGGTCACTTAAAAGTTAGGAACTGATGGTGAAAACGGGCATTTGACTTCTGAATAGATCCAGTTAGAAGTTCACCTATCCCATTTCTCCACTGGACAACGAAACGCGAACTGACTACCCCTTTAACCGCTTAGATATCCACCGTGCTGTGCATGACATACGTAGGTAATAAATAGTGGAAAAAAAGTTGACTCATATCTCAGCTAATGCATTCCCCCTCTATTCCTCAGAAGTGACCTCTTGCCTGAGTGTAAACAAGCGTGTTTTGAGGTCAAGCATGTACGTAATTGCTTACAAAAAGTTTTTTACTACTACTCGGATTTCAACTAATTTATGAGATCGATTGGGCTGCAAATAGGGACTGACATCTTCCAATTTTCCCACGAGAAGGGCTTAACATAAACAGTGCCGCCGGATTAAGACTATTTGATGCTGTAACTAAGCAAACATTGCCTGTGTGCCTACTCCCCGCCTCATAATCTACGAACAAAAGTTTTTCTTTCTTTCAAATGCGACTGCGTTTTGAATTCGCGGAAAATATTTTTTATGTCCAGCAAATTTTTTGGTGCTTATTGGTGCCCCTCAAGACATGATGCCCTAAGCAATGCTTCTGGGTTAATCCGACACTGACCATAAACAATTTTTCCCAGGTGCAAAGACAAACATTATCCAGAGTTGCTGCCGAGTACGAGTGTGGTGATCGTATTCCATAACGAAGCGTGGACGACGCTGATCCGAACCATCTGGAGCACAATTAACCGGTCGCCCCGACCCTTGCTGAAGGAAATCATCCTTGTGGACGACGCTAGTGAAAAAGGTAACTTAGTATTTAATCATTTGTTCATTCAGGAGTTCAGCCTCCCTAGACAAGTTGCGCGTTTTGATCCAATCGAAAAACGAATCCGTCATAACTGCAAAAAAAAGTAGGCCTTTCGACCATTTTTCGACTGCTTTGCGATTGTAATGTGCACTTTGTCTAGACTCACAGCAGTCATTATGCACATAAGAAACACATAAGATGCCGCAGTGGAACTTTCCAATGTTCTAAAATGTGTCCCGGTTTGCTTAGAGTTTAGACTATATTATTGTATTTTTATTTGTACTTTAGAATCCCATCTCAACTTCTTTAGTCTCCCTTTTTTATGATAATAAAAGTTAATTCCCTTAACTACATACTATCCTTATGTCCGATTTACCGACACTAGTTATGGTAATGATTTATGTAACTTCATAATTTATTAACCATTCGCGTATCAAGACAAAAAAACAATTATTCACGCTTGCGTCGCTCGTGTCAAGGCTTTTAAAATTAATGTAATGTTTATTAAAAACATGTTGATCTTTTTTATATTTTTTTAATGAATACAATTAATATAAAGGCACTGGGTCTCTATCAGAAGGAACTCTAGGGGTGGAATCTCCATAGGCGTGGATTAACGGGCAAGGAGATAATATCTTGGATGGTCGACAATCACTTTTCCTACAATTTAACGTTCCACCAAACTCAACACGCTCTCCTAGATAACCTCGCAGCCGCCTGCTCACACTTGACATGACACAACTGAATGACAGTTATCTTTTTCTGCGCATCAGTCGGGTGTTACGTTTAGGAATCACAAACCTTCCGCTCTACAGATTTATACAGATAACATAATATTAAGATTGGTACTATTAATCATCAATAATCATTTGCAGCATCTGTGTCCGGCGCCGACAAATAAAAAAAATCACATATTAAAATCGATTTCTATTTTATAATAATCAATTTTTAATCGATTTTTTCCATAATCGATTATTTTTTCACATCCCTAATACATACTCTCTAATCTGTGCCTACTGTCAGATTTTGGTTGACTTGGTGGACTGGGAATTTAATTTTTACGGGTTTATTTTCGATAATTATTGATTTATAACTGAAATTATAGATAATCAGGCTGTGTATTTAATTGATTAGTTTGTGTGTACAATACTATACTACTGATCAGTGTTTTAGTGTACTTAAGTTTTTTCCTAGCACTCAAAATGACGAACCTGAATGTAAGTAACTTGTTTTTTATTTAATTTGAACTCTCGTAACCCCAAACCATTAGCAGAAGTGTAAACTTAATCTTATAAAATTTATCTCTGAACACTTAACACAAAACAATGGCAATAATCACATTGTTTATTGATGCCATAATGACCTCCTAATTATTGATTGGATTTCTCCAATTAACAACTTAATGATATGATTTTGTTTGTAAAAAGATGTTTAACTTTAAATAGCCATTGCTATGAAGCAATATTGATTGATTGACGAATTAAGGCCCATGCCTTGCATATAAAAATGATTATTATTTTTAATTTCTTCATGTTGTAATGTAACGTTTCAGATTAACAGTAGCAGTGACAGCAGCTCTGGATCTTCTTCCGATTCAAGCAGCAGTGGAAGCTCTTCCACGAGCTCCGGTTCAGGGTCCTCCAGCTCCGATTCAGAATCTTCCGTGTCCGACACACCACAAGTCAACTCTATCCAAGCCCAACCCCCTAAGTCCCCCACAAAACCAGAGGAAAACAAAGAAGAACCAAAACAAAGAAGACCGTCCAAAACAAACAGAATATCTTCTTCGAGCGATGACGAAATTCCAAAAATAGAAAGCCCCAAAAATCAAACACCAAAAAGACGGAGCTCTACTAAAGCGAAAGCTGCAAGTGTCCTGGCTAAAAAGCCTTTATCTGGTGGAGCTAAAACTCCGAAGCCAGCTTCGAAAACTGCGAAACCAACTCCTAAATCTGACCAGAAGAAAAAAAGCATATTTTCACCAGTCAACAGTTCAGAATCTGAAACTGAGAGCAAATCGTCCAAAAGTCCAAAGGGGTCCCCTGGTTCTAAAAAAGGATCTAGGAAGTCTAGTGATGAAAAGAATTCTTCTTCTTCTGTTACTCCTGATAATGATGATTCAAATGGAAAAGATAATGCAAAGCGTAGGAGTACTAACAAACCAAGTGGGCCCCCTCCGAAGAAAGCGGTTGAAGATAAAAGTGCATCATCGTGTTCGTCAAGTCAATCATCGATTGAGTCCGTGTCTTCTGATAGTGAAAGTGAACCGGCACCCAAAAAAGTAGAACCACCACCTCCACTGAAAACTGGAAAAACCAAACCACCTTTAGGCAATTCTAACAAAGTATGTAAATATTAAAACCTAGGTTTAAATACATACCATATAATATGTATATGTTACTGTAAAAGCTCGAATTGCAGTAAATCCTAAGATATTCCAGTACAACCTAAGATCTACCAAATTCTAATGGTAAATGTCCCAAAAGGTTTGCGATTCGAACTCTTACCACCATTTCGTTGGTAAATCTTAGGATTTACATTAATGGCACGGTAAATGTTGAAAAACAAAACATGTCATAATGTGCTCAGCGCATCTCATCATCATCATCATCATCAGAAATTACTTCAATTGGAAAAAATCGAATCTATCTTAGTAATTTAGTCGCACGGACAGAATTTTAATATCTAAAATGGATTAAACATAGCCCACTTTTTGTAAGCTCATTCTGCATTTGATTATATTAATCAATATTCGTCGTTAGTTAAGTTAATTTTTCGCTTACTCAAATTCATACCGCTCAAGTTATTAAAACAGTAAGTATGCCATCATCAATCGCTAAGTTATTTTTTGGTTGATCGTTTTATAATTCCCCATTAAGAATTACTCATTGTTTTATTCCTAAAACCAACATCTACCAGCTGACAGAGGTAAAACCTAGCATATACTGAATTCGAATGGTAAAAGCTCGAAAAAATCGTATTTTCAGAAATACAGTAGAACGCCGATTATCCGAATTAATTGGGACCGGGGTCGATTCGGATAATCGAAAATTCGGATAATCGGACATAGACTGGTAATAGGGAAAAACGAACTGTCACACGTAGAAAAAACTTTAATTAGTTTAACAAACAGATATATTTCTACTTGGCGTTATTGTAGAATTGCTACAATAACGCTCAGTTGAAATATATCCGAATTCCAACAAAAAAATCTAAAAATACTTGGTTTTAATTTTTTATATTATGCTTAGGACCGATTCGGATAATTGGCGATTCGGTTAATCGGCGTTCGGATAATCGGCGTTCTACTGTACTTACATTTACCAACTCATGTCGGTAAATCCTAAGACTTACACTTAAATCTTAAGATTAACCGTAGTTCGAGCTTTTACAGTAACATATACATATAAATTATTGTATATGCAATTTTCACATTAATATTGGTGTAACAATAATTTATTTATTTAAAAAAGTTCACATTACATTACAAACTTAATTTAATGTTTTTATCAACTTGCAGCAAGAAACTGTTGGAAAAATTGTCGACCCAAAGGATGCCACCATGCCTCGAAAATTCACCAGATCACTATCAGCCAGGGTTTCCAGACTGGCCACCATATCCAGGCCTACTCACACTGACACAGATTCAGAAGCTGATGACAAAAGTCATGAAAAAAGGTAAGTAACTTATTTATTTTTTAACTAATCATCATAATGCTGCTACCAACCGGTCAACATGGGAATCATTGGGGGAGGCCTATGTTCAGCAGTGGACGTCCTATGGCTATAATGATGATGATGATGAATCATCTCAGTCATTAACACAGTCATCAGACCATTAAGTCCCCACTGCAGCAGAACAACCATCTCTAATTTATCAAAGGCAAATTATGGCCTCTGCTAAAATTCTCGCAGGCTCTCGCACGCGTGTCTGTATTGAAAAAGAATAGGTATGTGCAGCGTATGCATGGCGGGTTTAGGCCTTCCCTACCCTAGCAAGACGAGTTTAAGAGTATTTCTCCCTTGTCTGATGACATGGGCAGCTTTTGCATTAGTAGAGCCCCGTCGTTTTGGTGTTTGAGATTTGGGATTGGGAAGGACGTATTCTATTTTTGGAATTTCGTCATCGCTTGAAGAAGTTATTCTGTTTGTTTTGGACGGTCTTCTTTGTTTTGGTTCTTCTTTATATTCCTCTGGTTTTGTGGGGGACTTTGGGGGTTGGGCTGGTCCTTGGATGGAGACATGATGAAATGACATAGTTATGCATTGCATTTATTACATTGTAACATCTCTTTATTCCAGTTACATGAAAGACATCAAAAAGATCCTCAAAGGTCGCCTACCTGCAGTCCAGTCGCCTATCAGACCACTGCCTCCACCAGAGCCATCAGAGAGACGGTGTCCTGTCAGAGGCTGTGACTCCAGTGGCCACCTTGGTATGTACTTAAAGGACAGTGCCAATCCATGTATGGAAGTTGGACCAAGTGCTGCCCAGAATGAAACTATAGTGCATTTTGTTCCTCAGGCCAATACTAATTTGTAAACCAGAGCGCACTGAAATCTATCCCTGGAGTTAAGAGAAAAAAAGAGTTTTGTTTGGAATTATTTACATACAAAATATCATCGATGTATACCTACTACGCATAAGATTTCGCGATTTTGGCATTAAATAACACTCGCTATGTTGAACTTAACCATACTGCATCCGTACACCTTACTTTAGTACGACTTCGACATTATTTATAAGCGATCAAGCGCTGTTGCAGTAGTTTGGTTAGTTGACCGAAATTAATTATTTCCAAAATAGAGCAAGAAGTTTTAGCTTACAATAACTTCAATAATCGATTGTATTAGTAATAGTAAAATGCACTATGGGTTGATTCTGGGCAGCACTTGGTCCAGACCCTGGCACTATCCTTTGATGCTTGTAGAGTTTGAAAGTTACATTTTATAATTCGTCTCAAATATAGCCATGATATCATTTATAATCATCATCATTATGTGTTTTCATCAACCTTTTGCATAGGCGCAGATCATGCACCGACTTTTAGTTGGCTGATAGTTGGGCCCAATTTCAATTTGTATGAAGAATCGGCAGACACCAAATCGGTGTAACAGCACGACTCAACTATAGGCCAACTAAAAGTCGGTGGTCTGCGCTTAGGCTTATGCATTTACTTGTAATGAGGAAAGTTTTATTATTACAAACTACCTAACCCTATTCTGCTGTAGCAACTTTTGTTTTCGATTAGAAGACGCGTGCGCGGCTTAAATTCTTTATAGTTCGAAGTTGACTGCGCACTGCTGGGCGCAGAAACTAAAGTCTGGTCGCGGAGCACGTAGAATTTTGTCCAATGACCCCAAGCTACCTATCCTTATCGCTCGCGCGTAATTATACTGTCGCGACTGTGCGACCGGCGGCAGCAGTGAGTGTGCGAGCGCGACAGCAATATAATTACGCGCCAGCGATAAGGACGGATCTCCTCATTTCTGATTCGATCACGCAGGGAAACTCCGAGCATAGCCCGCTCCATCGCCCTTTGGGTGACCTTGAGCCTTCTTATGAGGCCCATAGTAAGCGACCACGTCTCAGATCCGTATACCATCACTGGCAACACGCATTGGTCAAATACTTTCGACTTGAGACACTGCGGTATTTCGGACGTGAGTATAATGGCGAAGCTTCCCGAACGCTGCCCATCCGAGTTGGATTCGACGATTGACCTCTTTTTCTACGTGCTCTGGGACCAGACTATAGTTATATTAATCCTTATTCCTCTTCCACTAAGGTGGCAAATCGAACCGCCACTTCACGTGGGACGCGTGCCCTGTGTACCACAACGTGACAGGCGCGTGGTGCGTGGCGGCGAGCGAGGAGCGCGCGGCCGCTTCCAGCACCAGGCGGCGCGCGCTGCAGACGCTGCAGCAGCGGCCGCGGACCATGCCCACCATCGAGCAGCGCGCCTACCAGCTCAAGGTCAAGGTGGGTCGCTACAGCCACGCCACGTGCCACGTGACACGTGACGCGGGCGAGGAGCGCGCCGCTTCCAGCACCAGGCGGCGCGCGCTGCAGACGCTGCAGCAGCGGCCGCGGACCATGCCCACCATCGAGCAGCGCGCCTACCAGCTCAAGGTCAAGGTGGGTCGCTACAGCCACGCCACGTGCCANTGTGAAAAAAATCATGTTTATTTCTAATTAAATCCATTCTTACTCCCTTAAAATGTATGAAACTTGTGTCTGTTTTCTAGTTCTACTATTAGATAATTTTGTTGGCTATCGCATGATATAAAATATTTGCTTATTAATGTTAAGTTACCCACGCTATCACTTGTTTTTGAAGGAAGAGGTGAAAACTTAAAATTAATAACTTAAATCCTTGTAAATATGCGAGAAATGGGTCAAGCCCCAAATTTAAAGTATTTTCACCGATAAAATTGTCCATAGATTACGCCCTTAAAGTTTGATCACTACATGCCCGGACACACTGTACATAATATCTCAGGTATACATAATATCCCAGGTATATATAATACCACCACTTCGCTTCCACCTTCGGCCTGATCATCACTTACCATCAGGTGAGATACAGGCCAAGAGCTTCCTCGTTGTGGATAAAAAAAAAAAAAAAAAAAAATAATAAGGACGGGTAGCTTGGGGTCATTGGACAAAATTCTACGTGTTCTGGGACCAGACTATAGTTATATTAATCCTTATTCCTTTTCCACTAAGGTGGCAAATCTAACCGCCACTTCACGTGGGACGCGTGCCCTGTCTACCACAACGTGACAGGCGCGTGGTGCGTGGCGGCGAGCGAGGAGCGCGCGGCCGCTTCCAGCACCAGGCGGCGCGCGCTGCAGACGCTGCAGCAGCGGCCCCGGACCATGCCCACCATCGAGCAGCGCGCCTACCAGCTCAAGGTCAAGGTGGGTCGCTACAGCCACGCCACGTGACACGTGACTTCAATACCACCACGTGGCAAGTGTAACTTGGGCAAAAAACTGACGTCTCCAAGCTCCAGTGGTCATATGATAGTCAATTATTTGCTGCAATATTATTAAGTATTGTAAGTGTATTGTCGATGATACTGAATAAACATTTTTTCTTTCTTTCTAATTCCTCTTTTATATTTTATTTAGGCAGCAATGTTAGTTTGTGTTTGTTTTTGTGTTTAGTTATGTATACTTGACGTGTGTATGAACGTGAAACCCAAACTCAAAAGCCATAAAACCATGTCTAATACTGTATTCCTTACACCCAGGACATGCGTTCCAAATGGAAAGGAAGTCAAGAGCTCCGCGAGAAGTTATCCATCACGTGCGAAGAAACAACAGAAGAGAGAGAACCGATCCTGGATGGTTTCGCCCCGGACTACGATCTGAGGCTGTTCAGGGAAGCGCAGGCGTTGGCAGCCATCAAGATAGAGGAAGAGCTGGGGGATATATCGACGGATAGAGGGACCAGGTGAGTCTAAAACTGGCCATGTGCGAGTTAGCTTCGCATAAATAACTTGAAAAAATCGAACCCCCTAAGGTGGGAATCGAACCCAGGGCCTTTCGCTTGCCGGGCGACTGCTCTTCCATCTGAGCATCTCAGATTTTCTCTGAACCAANTTGATTTTGAGCTACTACTGACGCTAGGTTCATCTATCCATCCATCCATCCTTAGGCAGTTCGATTTTTTCACGTTATTTTTAATTTAGTTTGAGATGCAACTCTTAACGCAAAAAAAAATGTAATAACGAAGATGTGTGTACTTTTATTGAGTATTCCTAAAGCACACATTTGATGGATTAATGTGGATATAACCTATTCTTGACTGTATACAATGTGATGGCCATATAAATGTATAGTCTGGTCCGTGAGCACGTAGAATTTGGTCCAATGACCCCAAACTACCCATCCTTATCGCTCGCGCGTAATTATATTGCTGTCGCGACTGTGCGACGCGCGCCCGCAGTTAGTGTTTGAGCGCGACAGCAATATAATTACGCGCGAGCGATAAGGGTGGGTAGCTAGGGGTCATTGGACAAAATTTTAGGGCTTTAGTCCATTTTCGTCCCACAAACGTAGTAATAACGACATGTATCCCTTCGTTGTTCCAGATTCGTAGTGATGGGCAAATACATGATGGAAGTGTGGTACCAGTCTCCCTACCCGGGTGACGCGCCTCGCGTGCCACGGCTCTTCGTCTGCGAGTATTGCCTCAACCACCACACCTCCGCCACCGGCGCCCAGCGGCACAAGGCCAAGTGCGTGTGGCGCCACCCGCCCGGCGACGAGGTAACACAATATCACTCTTATTACCTCTACATAAGGTGCAGATTAGCGCTGACACACTACTTCACCGCCAGCAACGACCGCCCGGCGACGAAGTAACACACTTGCATGCAAATATCGCTCTTACTACCTCTACATAAGGTGCAGACTAGCGCTGACGCACCACTTCTACGTAAGCTAACATCGCCCCTATCACACCTGAATAAGACTGTCTAGCTTGCGAGCCTCAACCATCACACCTCCGCCACTCGCATGCAAATATCGCTCTTATTACATCTTCATAAGGTGCAGACGAGCGCTGACACATCACTTCACCTCCGGCACAAGGCCAAGTTCTGTTCCTCGGCGACGAGGTAAGCCAATATCGCCTCAATCACACCCGCACAAGGTCCAGTATAGCTTGCGAGCCTCAACCATCACACCTCCGCCACTCGCATGCCAATATCGCTTTTATTACCTCTACATAAGGTGCAGACGAGCGCTGACACATCACCTCACAAGGCCAAGTTGTGTACCCCGGCGAAGAGGTAAGCAAACATCGCCCCTATCACACCCGCACAAGGTCCAGTATAGCTTGCGAGCCTCAACCATCACACCTCCGCCACTCGCATGCAAATATCGCCCTTATTATATCTACATAAGGTGCAGACTAGCGCTGACGCACCAATACACTGCTAACGGCACGCAGCAGCTCTTGCAAGCTATGATACATAAATAATCTTGGACATTTTACACAGCACCATCTAGTACCAAACAAGGAAAAGCTCGAGAAGGTACCATACAAAGTATCAAACATATTTTTTACATCTTTTTACAAAAACATACACGTTTGCCCGGGAAATGAGAGTCGATCCATTTCAACATGAGGCAATATTTTTTTTTTCAAGTTAAAAAAACGAAGATGTTTTTTAACAAAATAATTTAAATATCAATTTTATAATGACACGCACCGCGTAAAGCTTGAGTGAGAGAGATAGCAATATCGATGACTGGCGCATTTCTTGGCCAACGAACCAGCATTCTGGGCACCATGTCGCGTTGTTTGGACAGCGATTTGGGACATATTTTTATTTGTAAATATTTAGTCTACGTGGGTTCATTATTTGTTTAAATTAATTAAAATAATAAATGAATTACTTTGAGAAATGTGTGCTTTACAATAATTTGAGATGATAAAACAATAAAATATAATTTGCCCACAGGTGTACAGGAAAGACGAGCTGAGCGTGTGGCAAGTCGACGGCCGCAAGCACAAACAGTACTGCCAGCAGCTCTGCCTTCTGGCCAAGTTCTTTCTCGACCATAAGACATTATACTATGACGTGGAGCCGTTCCTCTTCTACGTGATGACCAATGCTGATGACGAGGGATCGCACGTCGTTGGATACTTTAGCAAGGTTTGTGGCATCCTTGAAGCCAGTAGCTCGTTTTCTAGGCAAGTTAATTCTTAAAACTGCGAAATACTGTACTCCGACTGGGAGCTATTCCTCTTCTACGTGATGACCAATGCGGATGACGAGGGGTCGCACGTCGTTGGATACTTTAGCAAGGTCAGTGGGAATCCTGAAGCATTTCTTTTTTACACAAGATCAGCGTCAACCCTGAATTCAGTGGCGCTGCCTTCTGGCAAGTTCTTTCTCGATCACAAGATGCTGTACTATGACATGGAGCTATTCCTCTTTTATGTGATGCCAGTGACTAGTGTGGCAACCCTGAAGCAATTTCTCTTTTATGCAAGATCAGTGGCAACCCTTAAGTACTCTTAGGCTATTTCTTGACCATAAGACACTGTATTACGGGCTGGAGCCATTCCTATTCTACGTGACGACATGTCGTCGGATACTTTAGTGGCAAGTGTGGCAACCTGAAGCAATTTCTCTTTTACGCAAGATTAGTGGCAACCCTGAACAGCAGCTCTGCCTTCTGGCCAAGTTCTTTCTTGACCACAAGACATTATACTACGACGTGGAGCCGTTCCTCTTCTACGTGATGACCAATGCTGATGACGAGGGATCGCACGTCGTTGGATACTTTAGCAAGGTCAGTGGCAACCCTGAAGCATTTCTTTTTTACACAAGATCAGCGTCAACCTTGTAGTCAGTAGCTCTGCCTTCTGGCAAGTTCTTTCTCGACCACAAGATACTACAGGGTGTTAGGTTAGGTTAGGTTATGAGCCGACACTAGCCCATGTTAACATGGGCATATAAATGGTATGGTGAAGTCAGAAATTTGATAGCATTTTATTTTTTTTAATTATCATACAAAATAAATTTTTAATAAATCCGATTTGTATGAAAATTCAAATAATTAAAATGAAGATNTGGTGAAGTCAGAAATTTGATAGCATTTTATTTTTTTTAATTATCATACAAAATAAATTTTTAATAAATCCGATTTGTATGAAAATTCAAATAATTAAAATGAAGATATCAATAATTTCTGATTTCACCATACCATTTATATGCCCATGTTAACATGGGCTAGTGTCGGCTCATATACCCATTTACCTAACACCCTGTATACTTTGACGTGGAGCCATTCCTCTTTCACGTGATGACCTTCGAGGGATCGTACGTCTTAGGATACTTTAGTGACAAGGATACTTTACGGTAACTGGCAACCCTGAAGCTCCTTATTAGATCAATGCGGATGACATAAAAAAGTCAACCTTAGGTAAGTGAAATGCTGAATGGCTTAAATCCATTCCAAACCATGGATTGTCAATTTAAACTATAGTCTGGTCTCTGAGCACGTAGAATTTTGTCCAATGACCCCAAGCTACCCATCCTTATCGCTCGCGCGTAATTATGTTGCTGTTGCGCTCGCACACTAACTGCGGGCGCACAGTCGCGACCGCGACCGCGACCGGGCTTTATGTGTCAAAGCGTGTGTAACTTTTTTGTGGTAACGCCCTCCATGTTCCGTTGCTCTCACTCGTTTGACAGTTATAAATTAAGAGGTTCTGAATTGGCAAACCCTTAAAGCAATGCACCCGATGCTACGTATCGTCACAATGCAACGCTAGGTGGCGCTATATTGGCGTTCACTTGCTAAACTGCAGTTTTTCCGGTTATTCCCTAACACACATAAATCGTCACTCAAAATTGACACTATCTTTTATTTTGCCATGAAATACTGAGGCTGAGTTAGTAAAAATCCATTGTATAATGTGTTTTACGCTTGACGTTATGCTTTATTCGCGGCCAAACGCCTCTCACGTGGCGGAATCACATCCCGACCTACGCATGGCGTGGAATATTTTTATTAACAGACATTTTAAGTACCTATTTGTTTTACACAAACTAGTAGTCTGTGTTTGACCTATAGTTCCCCTGACAGTTTTTTTTAAGTCTCGTTGTTTATTACCAGATAATTAGAGATAAATGTAGATGTTGACAGTGACAATGACATTTAAGCTGGACCATAGATAATACACTTGCGGGACAGTCCATCCCAAAAAAAAAAACTTAGGTACCTGTCGGGTTTCTGAAATCTCATTACAGATTAAGCTGAGTAGAAAATTCCCAAGTACAATTTTTCCCCCAGTCAATTAAATACAGGCCTTGTCAAAAGAATAATTAATTAATGAATCAATCTTCCCATGAAAGGACATCATCCATTTTGGTCCAAAATCAAAAGTGCCGGCCAAAAAATAAAAGTGCCGGCCAAAAAATAAAAGTGCTGTATTCTGATAGAATACGTCCGCCTTACCATTTTTTACTATGGCACCAAAGCTGTAAGCACCACTGTGCATCGTAGTATTTGAGTTCTAAAAATATATGAAACGACTGACTTTGATCTCAAATACTACGACGCACAGTGATGCTACAGCTTTGGTGTCATAGTAACAAATGCTAAGGCGGACATATTCTGTCAGAATACATCACTTTTCTTTTTATTAGCCGACATTTTTGATTTTGAACAAAAAATGAATGAATCGTCGATGAATTTTAGATCTCAAATACTCGACGCACAGTGGTGCTACAGCTTTGGTGCCATAGTAACAAATGCTAAGGCGGACGTATTCTGTCAGAAGACAGCACTTTTTTTTATTGGCCGACATTTTTGATTTTGAACAAAAAATGTATGAATTTTCGATGAATTTTAGATCTCAAATACTCGACGCATAGTGGTGCTACAGCTTTGGTGCCATAGTAACAAATGCTAAGGCGGACGTATTCTGTCAGAATACAGCACTTTTTTTTTATTGGCCGAAACTTTTGATTTTGAACAAAAAATNAGAATACAGCACTTTTTTTTTATTGGCCGACATTTTTGATTTTGAACAAAAAATGTATGAATCGTCGATGAATTTTAGATCTCAAATACTCGACGCACAGTGGTGCTACAGCTTTGGTGCCATAGTAACAAATGCTAAGGCGGACGTATTCTGTCAGAAGACAGCACTTTTTTTTATTGGCCGACACTTTTGATTTTGAACAAAAAATGTATGAATCGTCGATGAATTTTAGATCTCAAATACTCGACGCATAGTGGTGCTACAGCTTTGGTGCCATAGTAACAAATGCTAAGGCGGACGTATTCTGTCAGAATACAGCACTTTTTTTTTATTGGCCGACACTTTTGATTTTGAACAAAAAATGTATGAATAGTCGATGACTTTTAGATCTCAAATACTCGACGCACAGTGGAGCTACGGCTTTGGTGCCATAGTAACAAATGCTAAGGCAGACGTATTCTGTCAGAATACAGCACTTTTTTTTGTTGGCCGGCACTTTTGATTTTGGACCAAAAATATATGAAACGTGGATGATGTCCTTTTCAAATTCAAATTCTGTCCTCTTCCTGGGTTGACTTAATATTTTTTGATTCGTCAGTTTTGTGTTGTGCAACAGTTAGTTAGTCTATCATATCAACCCATTCCATCAGTTTATTTATTTTATTTTATTTGTTTAACAATCATTGAATTCATTTACAACTCATACTTGCTACCTTAAAAATCAATCCTAAACCATTCATTAACCCCTATTACGGTAAAACCCCATGCCCAACCTTAAAATTTGCAAAAGCCGTCGCTTACTCGTTACGCTACAACTTACGGCGGTGTAACTCCCATTCAGGGGGCGCGTCAGCTGAGGGGTCAATAACCCCGCCGACACCCACCCCTTCCCACCTCACCCCCCACCTCCACGACCTACGTCTGGAGTTCAATTTTTCCAAAATATTTAATGGAATTTCTGAAGACGCTCGAAATAACAGGATTAGTCCATTAGTTGGTATTGTTTCAAAGATGGCTTCAGGCTTTTAGACTTGAGCTAAGTCTTTGCATTGCACCGATAGGATCTATTGAATTTTAATGCCAGTCTTCGTATTTAGATAGGTTTGATGGTAAATAACTCAGATGTATCAGCTACGAGTAAACCTTTTATCTGACTGCATAAAAAATACGTACAAACAAAGAATATTAATTTCTTTATTTCTTGATATTCTTGATCGATGAAGATTTTTTTTATTCTGAATGGCGGATAACCTCCACTACATTTTACGACACGTGGTTTACACTAAATTATAACCAATTTATTCCATCTTTCGCCATATATTAGCTTATTTGCTTTAGTTGTATCACAGATAATATAATACTAGGTTGAATTAATTAAAATTATTAAGTTTGTTTTACGACTTTTCTAATACTAAGGTAAAGACATGCCTCAGCGATGTATTAAGTACGGACTTAGTAAAGCCTTTAAAACTTGTACATGAACCAATTTTTATACAACATTTAGTTTCCGAGGCATTCTTTTTAAAATAATGTTGTTGATTAATCACCTACTCGTTAAAAATTAACCAGGGTTGATACAAATCTCAATTAAGTCATGGCTGGCTTGGAAATTGCGTTTCTTTATACGGCTCCCTTTTCAGGGCGTGTGCGAGACAACAAAGTCATAGTGCACACAGGTACAGTCGACGACAACATTGCATGACTTGATAAAAACCATGTCATAAAATTAATTTTATTTCTGCAAAAAACACTTGTACACGTCTCAGTATTAACATTACTACTGCTTCGGGACAAAAAATAGGCCAGTGCGGAGAAGAATTAAATACAGATAGATCAGACAAAATTAAAATATCACGTATCAGCCATATAAAATGTCACTGTTTAGTTACATTGTTATTAAAAAAAGAGTCAGTAACTGTATATCCAGTTCTACCTTTTATTTAAAAAATAAAACAAATAATCAATTAGTACACCCTTATAAGTATCCTAACCAAAATATCCTTTTAATGACTCTTAAGTGTCCTTTTAATGACCCGTATATGGGTCCTGTTTGCTCCTTGAAACATTACTCGTAGGTAGTTATATTGAGTTATTTATCTATTCCAATCATCTTTTTCAAACTCTAACCCATGGTTAATTATGTTTTTATAGTTATGAAATAAAATCCAATTTTAATTGCGACTGTACTAGGGTGATTTGTTATTGCCATTTCGATTACGCGCTCGTCTGCACCCGAGGTTTTAATACACTCCCAATCCCAAGCCCATGTAATCTGGTTTTCTCGAAAAGTTGAATTATTGAGTCCACAGTTTTACCTAAGTTTTAATACGATTTTTTTATGAAAGCAATCTCGATGTTGAATCCATCATCAGTTTTAAAATATAGTGTGTGTGTACAAAATGTGAATCTAATTATTGAGTCAATGCATTCAGAACATTATAATATTAGTATAGATATATCTTATAGTCTTTGCTTCTAATTCCGACCTATCTCGACACCAAAATAACCAATATTGGTTCATCACTTGAGTTTTGTAAAAACCTTACAAAAACAGACATCTAAACTCTATTCAATTGATTTTTGTTTTTACTAGCGTATAATTGCCCTAACATTTCAAAAAGAAATGCTGTGTATACCTGTAATTGAGGTCATATTATAGGTACGCATCATGTGTTAAACCATGTTAAAATGTATGAACTGTATTATGTAATAGCGGCCGCCCGCGACTTCGTACGCGTGGATCCCGTTTTACCCCCTTCATCTATCTTACGCGGTTTAGATTTTTTCATACAAATGTTTT